TTTTTTTTTTTTTTTTTTTTGTGCACAGATTTAATAGATGAGAAACAGGTGTTATTCCAAGCAACAAAAAAGTGTGTGTATATATTCTGCTTTTTGATGTAGTGGAGATGGTTGTCCTAAGGTAGCAATGCACAGGATGCCTGGTTTAAATTTCATTTCTCCAGTAAGTTTTAGCAGGTTCTTCTTTTCCAATAGAATGGAGCTGTTAAACTTAAGATAATAAAATGAGATTAATACAATTTTTCTTGAAGTCAGTAATTTAGATATATTGTTTTGTTATTCTAAATGGATATTTTGTAGCAATTTGAGATTTGCTGTTGATTTATATCACCATTTGATGGACAGGACCATGATGACAAGCATCTTTGTTAACAATTTATTGAATCAGTTTAATGATAATAAAGACTTTGTTTTCATGCTTCGAATGTTTTAAAGTAAGTCTTGGAAAACGGAAATCTTAATTAATGCAAATAAATTCTAATTGGACAGTCTGATAGTTGGTGCAGACTGTGTGTATAGTTACCTGGAATGAAGTGGTAAATCTGAATATTATATTTTCTTTTCTGAATTAGAGATAATAAAAAATAATATAGGATGGACAGATGTTACTTGGGGATGCAGAAGGTGGAAGCTGTTTTCTTGATCAGTGAATTATGCTAGCCAGTTTTTCCTGGATGAGCTTTGTGAGCTGTTCTGCTCACAGCCTTTGACTCTTTAGACCACCAGAACTCTTTAGAAAGGCAATCAAGATATTTATTAAAATGCCATCCACAATGAATTCCTCATTTCAGCAGTGATTTCATACACTTTCACTGAAGCTGTCTACTGCTCTGGCCTTGCCTGGTGCAGAGCCCAAGAACATAACTTAGATGGAGTCAGCATTGCCTTTCAGCTGTTTAATCTCAGGGTCTGAGATACATTGATGGTTCTTCTCCACCACTGGCCAAGATCAGCAGCTGGAGGAACATGTTAAGGATGCTCAGGTACCCATATGTCATTCTTTCTGAAGTGTTCCATAATGGGAGATCTCATCGTGACAGAACAAAGGATTGAGTCACAAGATGATTGTTTTGAAGATTTTCTTACAGGAAGCATTAAAAACTTTAATTTTTTTTTTTTTATATACTTGTAACATGTGTCTAGGACCTGAACTTCAGAAACTTTATTCCATGACAGATATCTGGAAACCTGTAAGCTGATTGTACTGCTATAGTGAAATGGATTTACTGAGTAGATAATCTGCCCCTTCACTGTGTAGCAGCAAGCTGTGTTAATATAAATATTCAGGAGGATTCTGATCAATGTGTCAGGCTCATAGTGATTCTTTTATTCCTTTCAGGTCCATTTTGGGTGAGGAGGTAAAACAGGCATGAGGCTCCAGTCCATTGTTAGATACTTCTCCTCAGTGAACAGCTCCTGACACTGTTGAGGAGCAGATAGAAACCTGTATGTTCACAAAAAACAGCTGGAAGGCTACCAGACCATTATATGTTTAATTAAAAACACAAAGGGGCAATAAGCTAGTTAAATTATTCACTGAAACCTAGCTGATCAAAAGAAGCCTCTGCAAGTGACTTCTGACCCTAGTAGTAAACCTGAAAAATTGGATTTACTCCCTGCCATGTTTCAGATTATTCTCTGCAAGATGGATATATGCATATTGGATTCCAAGATGCCCAGGATTCAGAAAGGGAAGAGAAAACTCTGCAGATGTATCCATTAACCTTTTTCTTTTAGGGTAAAGGGCACATCTTTATGAATATTTATATGTTGAATTGCTAAACTGGAAAGCTCTAAAGAGAATATAAAGATTGAGCCTTACTTCCAGCCCTCTGAATGAGTTGATGTTAAACATGTGAGGCATTTACACATTTTTTTCCTTCTCAAAAGGTCTTTAGATATGCAAATACAAATAGAATTGTGCTCACCTGCTTCTGTTCTCAGGGTTAAAGTATGAAAAAGAGAAAAGTGAAGAAGAACTGTTATATAAATCTTCCACTGATTTAAGCACTGTGAGAGAGGAGTTACTACTGGAGGAGTTACCTTCCATCCTGTGGCTTCCTGCTGAGAGCAGGTGTTTTATGTACACTAGGCTGACAATTGTTGTCTCTCTGAAGCATTAACATGCTGCTCATAACCAGCTGTTGAAATGCATTCATTGGACCACGTTGGCAATTGGAGGAGAATGGCTGACAGTTTGAAACTCTTTTAACCTGAATTTGGACAGTGCAGAAATGTTATGGTCAGCCAGGAGCAGGATGTGTGGGTCCCCCAGGAGTCTGCTCCAACATGCTGAGTTATTCTGCTGGATTGTTTTATGACCCTCTGATACAAGCAAAGAACCAGAATGCCTCAAACTTACACTAAATGCAACTTTCTGAAAACTGTCTGCTGAATTTGGGCTGCTCATTTGGAATGTTAACTCCCCTAGTTAATAAGACAGATGTTATAAATGTTCTTT